GTCATAGCCTGTTACGGAAATTTACATATCATATGCATGCGGAATATAGTTGCAAAATTATCTTGGCTAGCCTGCAGAGCAGTCGTAATTTTGGCGAGCGGGTGCTCAGTATTTTCTTGGTGAAAATCAAAGCTGTAATCTTTGTTTTTTACAGCAGCGAAAGGCTAAGGCCATAAGGAGAGACAGAAATTTGTACCAAGGGGGTGGGCGACGGTCAAAAGGAAGGAGAGGGAGGGGTGGGGAAATAGATATCTGTACCTGTTGGTTCTTGGCAACAACTGTGCGAGTCAAAGCTATGATAACAAACAGAAGCGATGATAAAACAGGCGTCACTTCGGCATAATAGCGAGCTGGGAACGACAGTCCACAGTTATGCTCGTTTCCTGCAAGACAAGTAATTTTACAAGTAAAAATAAAAGGAATCATTGAAAAAGGATAACGCTAAGGGGTGTGGAAAATAACCGTCGTAAACTCACCGTAAATATTTGCGGTATTGGACAGTTGCAAAGTCATGAAAAACATGACAAGGACGACAGGGGAACCCCAGGAAAACAAGCTGCAACGATTGTAGGACCTCTTCCTTTTGGCGATGACCGACGGCTCCTGGAAATCAATGTCTGAAGAAAAGGAAATTACACTTTTCTTCACTATTACGCCATGGCTAAGTTTTCAAAGTTAATAAAAATACTCCGGACTATTGAGCAAGAAGTTGAGCTATAAAATCTCCATAAAATAAAGAAAGAAAGGAAATGTTTACGAGAAGAATTCATTGATTAACCCTTTAACCCCTAGGAGTGACTAACATCTATTTTCTCCTTACAATATCACCACTGAATCATACTTTAATGTCATGAGAATAAAGGAAATGATCACCAACTAAAAGAAACTCTTGATTGTTAAAGAAATTCTCCTTGTCAGCAGCTTAGTAACTGTACAGAGAACAGTGCGGAGAATATGAATACTGATGTTAGGGTGTAAAGGGTCAAATGCCTTTCCAGTGATTTTTGTAAAACTAAAGACTTACAATCAGACCAATCAGAAAAAAACGGAAACATCAAATGAAGTCGATGGAAATCCAAGTAAAAGTGAGCAAACCATCTTCCGCGTGAGGAAACGCGCCATTTTTATTGGATTTAGTTTCTCATCTGATCGATTCAGAGGAGGAAGAGAGATTAAGATTTTAAGGCCAATCACACAAGCGCGCAGCATAACCAAGAAGGACGTGAAAACGAGTATAAGATTATCTACTTTTGGGAAATGCACGCGCTGGAGAAGTGTGTATTTCCTCCCTTCCCCCCTCCTCCCCCCGCCACCCCACGGCCCAGTTTCCTTAGTAGTTGGCAAGTACCCATTTACCCACTTACACTGGTGGAGAAAGGCGTCAGACTAATCCCGTGCCCAGATCTTACCGTGTAGCTGTAACTGAAACCGCTTAGCCGTGAAAGGTCTGGGTAAGAGACCAGCCTCAGGCCAAAGTGTATTTTTTTGATAGCAGGAGCACAACTATAGCGCAATACACTTACTTGGGTTTGTGAAAGTTTTGTGAGTATCGTGGGCGATGCAGCCCGTCCATAGAAATACAACCAGGTTGAAATAATGTAACAGAGCTCCCATCACGGCACAAACTGCCCAGGAAACAACATCCGTGTCTGAAGCAAAGTATACTGACTGCAGGGCTATCATCGCGCATGACAACTGCATCGCCATTTTACCAGGAAATGTGCGCAGCTCAGCGAATAGGAAATACGTCATCAGCAGGAAGAGCAGGGCAGTGATTGACAGGGAGAATCCGACACAGGTGGTGATGCGAAGAGTAAGCGAATAATCCGATGATTTTCCGCTTTCAATGCGTGGATCGTGTACATGCGTAGTGGGCGTTGTACTCCGAGATTCATCGTTGGTGTGAGAGACGTTCTTAGTGTCCTTGCCCTTGTCAATGCGTGGATCGTGTACATGCGTAGTGGGCGTTGTACTCCGAGATTCATCGTTGGTGTGAGAGACGTTCTTAGTGTCCTTGTTCTCAACAGAGGAATGTTTACTGGGTACCAACAAACATTTTTCTTCGAACGGATTGTAAAACGTGTGAACAGGACAACTAAATTTCACAGGCACGGTCTTTACGAAGCTATCATTGAAATGTTCTGCATAAATAGAGAACACGAAAATCGTTGAATAATCTCTGATTCCGACGTTGGGAACATTAACATTGGTTGGACAATTGACGGTTTTGTTAACTAGAGCTGTTGCATCTTCTAATAAAGCACAGTGAGGATTTTTTAACAAACGCATCGGCTGATTTCCATCGAGCCATTCAATAACATTTGCGTATGAACGACATAAACGATCGATCTTACGACGAGGTTTTCTATTGGCCACAAGAGGTGTTGCAATACATTTTTCAGTCTTTTTAGCATCAATCGGTATTGTATGCCAAACGGTATCGGTATATTTAATATCCTGCAAAGTAGAACTTCTGCACGGCGCGTGTACAATCTTGACACTCCAGAAGTGAAGATTGCGTGACTTTCCATTGCACATGGCACAGTATATATTGGCATAACTAACGTTTGTTGTTACATCAAAAACCGGTAAAGCCACGAGAGGGTCAGCGGTGTAATTGCTTTTCTTACAAGCACGCTTGATTGGTGGATTCCACCATGAAGTTGGGCAGCTGTCAATCATAATGTAACCGTAGTAGGATCTCTTCTTTGACCCTGGAGCACTTATGCAAGAAAGTTGCGTTTGCTGAGTTTCGTTCTTCGGTGCTTTTGGAGCACTTGTGTGCCTTAAATGATAAGCACAAACAGTATGCTAATCAGTGTTTGAAATAATTAAAAAGTTCCACCACTGTTCTGAGTCATACGATAAGCAATCAATTAATCTGTCAGACAATCACACATCCGACAACTTGTTCCCTGCATGCTTTCAGCTAGTTAGAAGACGAAGCACAATGATAAACGGCGCAATACTAGCGAGTAAGTGAAGAAACGGAGGAGCTTTGGGGGTTCACTACGCGAACCGCCTAACGACTCAAGGCAACCACAGGAAATGAGGAAAGTGTGGAAAAAACATGCGTACTGATGTTAGGGTGAAGCCGGGTTAATGTTTGTGAATAGAATAATAGAGATGGTAAATTTTGAGCTCGGTAAAGATATAGAGAAAGATGTTTTTTATCTTGTCACAAGCGCGGGACAAAGAAAAAATTTTGAGTCCCCATGAAGAATCGAACCTCAAACCTTCGAATTCTGCGTTCCGATGCTCTACCACTGAGCCACAGAGACTTTAAGGCGAGCGCGGTCTATTACGAAGTTCATATGACACACGTCCTGCATACTGCTAGGATCAGCAATGTTGATAACGTCATGTTTGTAAATAGAATAAGAAGTTTGATTCCTCATAGGAACTCAGTTTTTTTTTCTTTGTCCCACGCTTGTGACAAGACGAATAACACCTTTCTTTACAGGGTTAATGTTGTTACCTGAAAAGAATGAGAGGATACTTGTACTTGAACCAAAAACAAACTGGTCTAAGGTTTTTTCTGTAACTAATGTGACCAAAAAAATTTCAACTAACTCATACCATTTGTCATAATCGATACAGCAATCACCCATTTCCTCACAGAGAGAATCACAATAGCAGTTTTTCCAAAGTAACATTTTGCGGTCTGAAGGACCATCAGTGATGTTGTAGTTGCATGACGCTTTATAACGATTGCAAAACTTTCCAACGCCATACTTTTGCTCCAATTTCTGCATTTCAGAGCAAAGTTTACTCTGTTTCTTCTTGAATAGTTGACAAGGACCTGGGAACAAGAATGAAAAAAAAAATTCGGTCTGGTGGCTCTTCCCGGTTTTCGTCTCCTTTCTTATACTCGCGCACGGTTGTTGGACCATTTCGGAGCTATCTGCGTGTCGAATCTCGTTCAGCGACCTTAGTTATTGTTAAATAATGCAAGAAATAAGTATCATTTCTTTCATTTAACTGTTGACACCGAGGTATTGAAATCGAATGAGATAAATACTGAGATACTGGAGATCTTCCGCGCGCTATAATTAATCAACCTACCCTTATGATCTTGATAATTTCTTAGAAAAGTGAAAAATTTTGCAATTAATTTTAATGAAATAGGTATTAAATCACTTGGGATGTTTAGGAAATGATCGATAAGGTAGTAAATCAAAAAAGCCCCAACAAAATTTACAAACGTTTTCCTGCATTGTACCTGCATCACGCGTGGGTTATTTTGTAGGTGAGCTCTGTAAACCCTCTAACCTGTAAGAGTGACCGGCTTTTAATTTCTCGTTATCTAAGTTTGGAATGTTTCAGCCAAACAAATCACCGCTTAGCTTTCTAAGATGGGCATCTCGCAGACTTTCTAAGTTTTCTGAGATCAGCGTCCAAAGTCGTTGGCGAAATAAGAGCCGTGGGGATTTTACTACTCTCACTTTGCCCCCCCCTCATTATGTAAAAATTGTAAAACATCTGTGGTCGGAATATCTTACTAGTGTCTGTAAAATATTGACTTCCAATTAATAACGAATAAGGGGGGGGAGGGAAAATTTATCAGAACATTACA